AGCACTGATTCACTGGAAGGCATATTGATGAGTTGGCAAGATATTGGTGTTGCGCTGATGAGCGCTGGACTCAGGGGAACTTTGAAACACTTTGTATTCATATTTCTGATAATATAAACTGTGAAACTCGGTCCTCATCTTCTCTATCTTTGTCTATTGTCAGACTACTGTTTATTGTGTGTGGGAGTACGATGCATGGCATGTACACACTTGCGTGAGATGGTCCCCAGGACCCATGCATCAACCTGATTTTTGCCCCTTCATATCTGGGTCATCCGGACATCCTTCCAGGCTAAATTGCCAGATCCAGATGTGGACAACTCGGAACCTGTAAGACATTTTGCCCGTTGCCCAAACAAACCTGCACCGTCCTACAGCTAGCAAGCAGTGGATGAAGTTAAGCATACACTGGAAGTTCTACCAGCCCGGAGCACCAGTTTGATGAGTATCATCAACCCAGAGGCTGGAAGACACTTGCAAATTGTGAGCGTCATACGTGATAGCAAAGGTTGCTGCACGAGGTCTATAACACTTGCAGTGGGAAGGCACTGAATTCGCATTATAGTTTTGTGTACTCATGGTCAGCTTTTCTATTTTGTGTGCAGGTCCATAGGCCTGGCTGCACCACACTTCACTGCGTTCAGTGAAGGGCGCAAGGTTGCTTATCAGGTATTCAAAGCCATTGATGCGGAGCCAGCAATCCACAGTGATGCTGATGGAAGAATGATACTTCGTCTTCGTGGAGAGGTTGAGTTCAGAAGAGTGAAATTTGCATTCCCGCATATCCTGAGTCAGCCACTGTTTTCTGGTCTTAGCCTACTCCTTCCTGCAGGGAAAACCGTAGCATTGGTTGGTCCCTCTGGCTCAGGAAAGAGCACACTGCTGGCGCTGCTACTCCGTTTCTACGATCCCCAAGATGGCATGGTGCTGATCGACCATCACAATATCAGACGACTACAGTTGAAGTGGTTGCGAAGGCAAATCGGGATTGTGGGTGATGATCCTGCTATCTTCAGTGCAACCATTAGGGAGAACATTATGTATGGCAAGGAAGGGGCGAATTTACAGGAGGTGGAGATGGCTGCTAGGCTTGCCAATGCAAACGACTTCATCGTGTCCCTCCCAGACAAGTATGAAACACAGGTGTGTGTAACCTCCTGCATCAGAACATGAAATGCCCATCATCATTCTTGGCTACATTTGAAAGGCAATAATTTCTCTATGTTTACAAAGCACTGAATAATGACAATTTAGCTATGCCACTGGCACTGTGGTGTGTTGTGCCCACTGGTAAAGAATACAATGCCATACTTATGGCAGTCTTGCTACCCATTGGTAATGCTATGCATTTTGAGAGTGCTACGGAAGGCTCTGCAGTTTGCATTACATTGTACCTGTGTCACTTTGGGAGGGTAACTCCTCTTTCCATGGCTCTAGCTGTGCTTCACTTTTCTAACGTATGATTTCCCTTCAGTTCATAGATAACGTGGCATGCATGCCATGTGCCAATATTTGCAACCAATAAAAACTGGAAACTACCCTGCTTCTTTGTGAGCATCTATCGATTTTTCGCTGTGGGTTGTGGAATAGGACACACCTAGTAGTGTCACTTGACTAAATCCCAGGTGCAACAATGGCACCCTCAAGTCCTTCAAACAGTAAACTGCTCGGGAAGTATGTTTGACTTCTGAAGTAAAAAGGGGATCTGGATGCCTGATTTCCGACTCCAGGGGAGACTGAGTGGGTTGCATGCCGGGGCTATCCATGGCTCCCTTAAATTCAAAAGTGCTGTGGGAATCTCATGGGATCGAGTGGCGCAAAAACAGTTACCACAAACAATAGCGCTGTGTGGGGTCATCAGCGAGTGCACACGAGAGAGAGAGAGAGAGAGAGAGAGAGAGAGAGAGAGAGAGAGAGAGAGAGAGAGAGAGAGAGAG